GCAGACTGCACAGGGCAATGGGTCTTGTGGTTACCAGAGGCGCTGTGGGGCTTTCCCACCCCCCTTCTCAAAATCCACCAGGGTTTGGTGCCCAGGAACTGCCCTTGCCTGGGGCTGGATAGGCAGGGGGGCAGCTGAGCCTTTCTTCTGACCTCCTCCCGCCCCCACCTCCTTGGTCTGTTTGGTCCCTTCTGTCCCACACCCAGGTTGGCAGCTCTACAGGGCTTTGTTACGTCTTTGTACAGCACCTTGCTGTAGGGCCATGGACCTCAATCGGAAGGATTTTAATGTTGACAAATGCAAAGTAACACATATGGGAAAACATAACCCCTGCTATGAGTTTAAAATGATGGGGACTACATTAGCTATTACTGCTCAAGGGAGAGATTTGGGAGTCATTGTGGATAGTTCTCTGAAAACATCCCCTCAATGTGGAGCATCAGTCCAAAAAGAATGTTAGGAATCATTAAGAAAGGGATAGAGAATAAGAGACTATCTTATTGCTGCTATATAAATCCATGGAACGCCTGCATCTTGAATACTATGTGCAGATGTGGTCACCTCATCTCAAAAAAGATGTCCTGGCTTTGGAAAAAGTTCAGAAAAGGGCAGCAAAAATGATGAGGGGTTTGGAATAGCTGCCATATAAGGAGAAATTAATAAAACTGAGACTTTCAGTTTAGAAAAGAGGAGAGGGGGGGGCGGAGGAATATGATAAAGGCCTATAAAATCATGACTGGTGTTAAGAAAATAAATAAGGAAAAGTTATTTACTTGTTCCCATAACACAAGAACTAGGGGTCAAAAATTAAATTAATAGGTAGCAGGTTTAAAACCAACCAAAGTATTTCTTCACAGAACATATAGTTAACCTGTGGAACTCCTTGCCAGAGGATGGTGTAAAGACCAGGACTTTAACAAGGTTCAAAAAAGAACTAGATGAATACATGGAGGATAGGTCCAGCAATGGCTGTTAGTCAGGATAGGCAGGAATAGTGTTCCTAGCCTCTGTTTGTCAAAAGCTAGGAATGGATGATCACCTGACAATTACCTGTTCTATTAATTCCTTCTGGGGCACCTATCATGGGCCACTGTCAAAGTCAGGACACTGGGCTAGATAGACCTTTGGTCTGACCCAGTATGGCTGTTCCTGTGTTCTTACGCCCCACACATAATCATAATATTAAGAGGCAGGCTAATGGGGGTGGTCACATTCTGCCTACCTAGAATTCCCCATTGTTTCTATTGCAGCCAGGATTCTTCTTCACTGATGGACCACAGTGTTGCTGTGCATGGTTAAATAGCTGCTGTGTCTCACCCCAGAGGTGGTTGCATTCCAGAAAGAACTGATACATGTGTACACTAAACCAAGCCCTGTGGAAGGAAACACGAGGGCTGTGTCTAGACTGGCCAGTTTTTCCGGAAAATCAGCCGCTTTTCCGGAAAAACTTGCCAGCTGTCTACACTGGCCGCTTGAATTTCTGCAAAAGCACTGACTTCCTACTGTAAGAAATCAGTGTTTTTTGCGGAAATACTATGCTGCTCCCGTTCGGGCAAAAGTCCCTTTTGCGCAAAAGGGCCGGTGTAGACAGCTCAGATTTGTTTTCCGCAAAAAAGCCCCGATCGCAAAAATGTCAATCGGGGCTTTTTTGCGCAAAAGCGCATCTAGATTGGCAGGGACGCATTTCGGCAAAAAGTGCTTTTGCGGAAAAGCGTCTGTGCCAATCTAGATGCTCTTTTCCGCAAATGCTTTTAACAGAAAACTTTTCCGTTAAAAGCATTTCCGGAAAATCATGCCAGTCTAGACACAGCCACTCTGTATTACCATCATTAATAAATATAATGCCAACCCTCAACCTTCTTGTGGACTGTTTGCGAGCAACAATACAATGAGTGGGATTTGCTGATGCCTCAGGTCCACAGTGAGGCTTAAGGCTGAAGGCTGTGTGACACCAAGCACCCAAGCTGCATGGGTACCTGCTTCAGGGTGTTAATGTTACTCCTATGTTAGTAAACAAGATCTTGACTTGCACGGGAGTGGGCCAGTGAGACACTTGGCTTGATTTTCCACTGCCTTTCAAAGCGCTTCCTAAGCAGAATGGCAGCATTTTCCACTAAGTGCACTTTGCACAGGTGTGAATGACTGACTGCGAGGAATCGGGCCCCACGAGTCACTGCTTGCATCAAACAGCTGAACGGCACCACGAACAGGTGCATTCTTCGATAGCAGTTTAAACCTGACTGCCAGTTGCCTGGGTTTGGCAGCCGTGTTCGAGCTGGAGCACCTAACCTATTATCCTTCACATACAAAACAGAAACGCTGACAAAACAAACAGCAGAAAAACAGTTTTGTGTACCTTCTTCTCAACTACATTTTGCTTGTAATTAGAGACCCCATTGGAAAATGATTCCACTGCCCTAAATCAAACCGGCAGGCCACATTCCGCTCCAAAGCCACTTCACTGAGCACTAGAATCTTAGCTTCCTGTTGCACGTGGAAGATCTCAAAGGCATATGACAAACTCAGCAAACAGCTGTACAAACCACACAGGAGGGTTCCGGCTAGAGATCCCTGAAATGCTGTCACTTCTGGAGTGTAATGTGGCAGCTCTTTAGTAACATACACAGAACCTGTACACAATAGTTCAGGGAAGGAAATAAAATACCATCCCCCAACAGAAACTCACGGTGTAACTTCAGTGAGCAGAATCAAAGAAATTGAAAAGGAAAAGACCTGTTAGATCTGTGGTGTCCTAGCCACATTGTTCAAGCCAACTAGCCACACTCAACTGGCCAAATAGCCACTAGTGGCTAGCATGTTGGACACCACGGGATTAAATCATCTTCATCCATATGTCAAGGCCGTGCATGATTGTTTCCAGAAATTGTGTGTAAGAGTCAGACAGGAGTCCAACCGGCACAGCAATAGTTCAGTCAAATGTGCATTGTGCCCCTGGCATTGGAGAGAATGTATTTACCCACATGGATGGTCACAGACTGGCCTCCTCCCTTCTGGCTTTTTGTCAGGGACAGGCTCTGAGGTGAATGCCAATGAGGTTTAGTGATTCTACATGACGGATTCATGACCCTGCAGTCTGAGTAAATGGCAAGCCCTAGTCAGGTATGTCTACACAGAAACATTATTTCGAACTAACTTAGTCTGTGTCCACACAGCAGGCAGTTATTTCGAAATAATGTTGAAATACTGTTAAGCTGGAGGACTTCTTACTCCAACTCCTGTAACCCTCATTGTATGAGTAAGGGAAGTCAGAGGAAGGGTGCTCTATTTTGAAATAAGTGCTGTGTAGACACTCCCAATTTCAAAATAAGCTATTTTGAAATGGATGTAGCTCAATTTGTGTAATTTGTTTCGAGTTAAGCCCTGCTGTGTAGACGCACCCATCACAGTAGCATGGTGCTCACTCACAGGACCTCTTCACCATGTGGATTTGCTACATGAAGCTCCCTTGGTCTGCGAAGGCAGCAGATGGAAGTGGAATGGGGCAGGAGCTGCCCCAGGGTGTGTCTAGACTACAGGGTTTTTTCGAAGGAAGTGGCCTTTTTTCAAACAAACTTCCCCTGCGTCTACACTGCCGCCGCGTTCTTTCGAACGTAAATTGAAAGAATGTGGCAGTTTTTTCGACTGCGGAAAAACCTTGTTTTACGAGGAAGAATGCCAGCACTTTCAAAAAAAAAAAAAAAAAAACCAGGACTATGTAGTACTTTGAAGACTAACAAGATGGTTTATTAGGTGATGAGCTTTTGTGAGCCAGACCCACTTCCTCAGATCAAATCGTGGAAGAAAATTGTCACAACCATATATACCAAAGGATACAATTTAAAAAATGAACACATATGAATGTAATGCAAACTGTGCTTTTTCGAAAGAGAGCATCCAGACTGCCTGGGTGCTCTCTTTCAAAAAAGCGGCTTGCTTTTTCGAAAGTACAGGTTGTAGTCTCAATGCTCTTTTTCGAAAGAGGCGTGAAGTCTAGACGTAGCCCCAGGGAGGACAGGCATGCAGAAGTGGGACAAGAAACCAGGCGAGGTGTGCCACAATGAGACAGAGCACCTGGAAAGAGGTACAGAGGCCTGTGATGAAGTGAACAACGTTCAGACTGGATTGGAGCAAGAAGAGGCTAATGGTTCTGGAGAGACCCTTTCAAACACAGGCAAAAAAGACGCAGGACCGCCAGTGGCAGAGCTCTCAGAGAGCACTTCATGTACTCCCTGGTGGGACAACCCAGCCCTCTTGCAGGGGAAAGTAGGTCTGTAGGTGGGAAATCTTTACTCTCCACCAACAGCTGGTCACTTTGAGCAGCATGTGGAGCCGTGGCAGGCCCGAGGGTCCCGCTGGGCTGCAGGACATTGGCAGCCCAGAGTATTGGGGTAGGGTGGATTTGAACGTAAGGCGGGCCAGATCCAGCCCACAGGCCGTATTTTACTCGCCCCTGCATTAGAGCCGCACTCAAGATCTGCTAGTATCCTTCAGCAGAACCTGTTTCCATCCTGTCAGGTCCTAAAGAGGGATGGAGCACGGAGGAAGCATCTATTTATTCCCTCAGTGCCCTTTGATCCATGCTCCAGAGCTGTTCTTTGCCCCTCTGACCTTGCTGAGCTCCCTCTGCCCCACACTGAGTTGCATCTATCTCAGCCGGGAAATTTGGGGGGCTGGGCACCGGAACAGATGTGCATATTGATCCTCCAAACTACCGCCTTAGGCAAAGGCTAAGCAAAGGGGGCGTGTCCCCAAACTGAGGCTACAACTGGAATAGTATCAGGACGATGGCAGGTCAGCTCCAAACTGTTCTCCAGCTGTGGATTTTCCACCCATTCAAACACGGCTTTGCTCCATCCTTTGCAGTTGACACCTTTGGGTCTCCTCATTCACAGCCCTGCCATTCCAAAGGTCCCAGATGTTTAAATTCCAGAACTGTATTAATGTCAGACTAAGCAGCTCATGAAACAACGCTTGAGCTCATCCAGGAGAGGAGAGAGGGATGTGACATTTACTTAACCTTCGATTAATAAGGGGCTTTCCTGGAACCAGTGAGGATAAAGCAGGCAGGAACGGAATTGGGAGAAATGACAACAGCAGTCCCGTTTCCCACCTCACATGCATCGGCTACAACGTTGAAGAGCCTCATTGTGAATTACCATCTTCTAGTAGTCGATAAGTGCCGCCTTCCATAAATCGGCTCCTCTGTCCTGTGGGATGCAGTGCTGGCAGTGATGCCAGAGGATATTAGAGAAACAATGTAGGCAGTCATTCCTTAACCCCTTCTTCATTCATAGAAGAACCAAGTGACTAATCCAAAATATAAAGTTTACCCACCGAATTTGCCTCTTTTCCCCTTTGAGGGACATTCAGGGACAATTTCCTCTCATTTTATTTTCCTTCATCCAAAGGGTTTGGTGACTGTGGCAGTGTTCTATAAATCACAAACATGATTCATAACTTTGCTATTCAAACTGTCTTGGTAAATTAGGGTTGGTCAAAGTAAGACAGGTGTGATTACCTTTCAACTCCCTGATCGGAAAGCATGCAAGCACATGCCACAGAAATATACAGGTGCAACTTTGGCATTCACGAGCTTTTGACTGGCTTGCCTGAATGTTTGTGGGAAGGCGCAAAGGGGCAGGGAGAAAGAACACGGCCAGTGTGGACTCATTTAAAGTTGCGAGTGAATAGTAATTGAATTTTTTTGTTGTATTTGTCCAGCTGCAATCTGGGGAAAGAGAGAGAGAGAGAGAAGTATTATTTAAAATGGAATTTTATCCACAAAATCTCATCCATGGCAGCTGAACTGCGAGGCTATGTCTACATTCGCGGCTTCTTGCGTGAGAAATATGCAAATGAGGCTAAGCGTGGAATATCGCCGAGCCTCATTTGCATACCTAATGAGCCACCATTTTTGCAGAAGAGGCTCTTGCACCAGAAGGAGCTGTCTACACTGCCCCTTCTTGCGCAACAAAAACCCTCTTGCACAATGCCGTTACACCGATTATTTTCAGGAATAACAGCATTGCGCAAAAGGGTTATTCTTGCTCAAGAAGGGGCAGTGTAAACAGCGCTTTCTGGCACAAGAGCCTCTTCTGCAAAAATGGTGGCTCATTAGGTATGCAAATGAGGCTCGGTGATATGCCACACTTAGTCTCATTTGCATATTTCTCGCGCAAGAAGCCTCAAGTGTAGACATAGCCTTCGTGGCCCAAAAGTAGGAACTCTTTAGTGTAATTTCCTAGTTAGACCAAGGCCTGTGTGCGTGTGTCTGTGTTTCCATGAGCATGTGTTTATATACGTCCTAGCTCTCCTGTCACTCTCTCAAAATCTGTCTCCACCCCTCTCTACCTCCTCAAGAGGATGGCCTCTGGCTGGTCTCTTTATCTCTAGCTGCTTGAGCTCTCTCAGCCCGACATGAATGGGAATTTTCTCCACACCTTCCAATGTCTCATGTGTGGCAGGCAAGAACCGGTGTTTGCCAAGCTGAGGAACAGAGAGTATTGAGGCTACTTTTCCCAAGCAGACATCGAAGGAGATGCTGTCAAGAGTGGAAAGCCTGACATTAGAGTGAGCTACCTTGCTTCAGTTACCAAACACCTTTTCTTAGTCTGGAAGTCCGCAAAGATATCCAAGAACCCTGTTCTGTGAGCACCTCTGGGGGTGCGGGATCCTTGTCTGTTCCACTAACATGGCTGCTCAAGAGGAAGGAGCAAGCAGGCAGGTGGGGCCAGAGGAACTATGTGTCATATACACCTGCTCTTGCCCTTGCCAAGAAGCCCAAAGCCCTGGCGGAGGTAGAGGCAAGTGGCCTAGATAAGATGTGAACATTTTGTTTGTTGCAGAAAGGACGTTGTGGACCTGACTCCATTACTCTGTTCTAGTGACCTTTAAACTAGAGAGGGGTAAATGACCATATGCAGGGGGGCGGGGGAAGGGTGCAAACGCACTCTCCACGGTCCTTCATGGTCCACCATGGGGCTGATTCCGGCCAGTCTAGGAAAGGGTGAAGCAGCGCACTGCCAGCCTCCCTCTCCTATGCTCTAGCTGGCCGATTCTCTCTTCCTCCTCCAGGAGAGAGGCCAGGGGCGAGGCTGGGCCATGGGAGCAGGATTGGGGGTGGGGCAGCCACTAGCCCTTCCCTCAGCTCGCACCTCCTGCCCCCCACAGAAATTCCTGCATACGGGCCTGATATGTGGGACAGGCAATGGTGTATCAGGCTCTATGGAGGTAGGTGAAACTCTGCAAGCTGCCCAACCTATCAACTACCCTTCCTTCCTGTTAACTACATTCTATCTCCCTCTCCTTCAGTGGAACGAGCCGCATGCCTAGGGATCTTCAAGGTATGAGTCCAGGCAAGTGACAAGAACCACAACAGCTGTAGCCTTGTGCCCCTGACTTAGACAGAATGAGACTCCCCAGCAATGTTTCCTCTAATCTTTTCCATCCATGTGCGGATTTTTCCCCATTCATGTGCAGAATAAAATTTTCTTTGTGCACCGAGACATGAGTGATTGTGCACCACCAGGAGACACACAAAGCTAGCTATGGGCACTCTGCTGATCAGCTGGGTGGCATTTGAATCTCTCCTGAGCAGTTGCCCAAGCACCCATCTTAGAGGGAACACTGCTCCCCAGCCTCTAAACATTCTCCCTGAATGCTACCATGGAGCAATTAGGCAGTGCTTGGTTACTGGGATTTCCGTCATTATCAAGACATTATTTCTCCTTTGCTGATTTATAATCTTGCTAACCAACATCGGTTTGCTTCCCTTTCACAGACTCTCACCTTCATACAGGTGGCAGAACGAGGGATCGCACCCCAGGAAATAAATCCGTCCCAGGGATTAATCTAAACAGCTTCTGTTCCACTTTCAATCAGAACCAGAATCAGAATTAGGGCCTGTGGCACCATCCAGCCTTGAGGCAAGAGAGCTGGTTGAAAACTTAAGAGAAAAATGCTGGTAAAACATTGACATGTCAAAGTTGTTTCTATTTTGCAAGGCTAAAACAAAACTGTGGTGAAAACTGTAAAACAAAATCATTATGCAAAAGGTTTTCAACATTTTTCATTTGCCAGAAAACCAGAGGTTGTCAATCATTGGTTTGTTGACAAAAATGTCATGAACGTTTTGTAAACACCGGAACAGTTTGAACAAAAGTCAACCGTTCTTCTTGAGAAGGGGCACATTTTAACAACGAAAAGTTTCATTTGAAAAACGTTAACCAACTCAGACAGGCATGTGTTCATCCTAGGAGACAGCAAGACAGTGACTGGATGGTAAAGGATTCAATGGCTGGCTCTGATTTGTTGCGTTGTCTTGGACACAACACCCTTCATCCTCCTTGTGCCTCACTTTCCCCATTTGTTAAACAGGAACTAATGACCTTGCCTGATTTTGTAAAGCATTTTGTGATCCTGGGATTAAAGAAGTGTATAAGGGCAAAGTCATTGTTATTCTCCATCTCCAAAACCTGGCTCATGTATGTCCTTAAAGACAACGCAGGATGGCTGTTGCCACATTTTTTGCAGTACACCGTTCATTTCATGGCACAAGACTGTCTCAAGAGTGGGCTTGGCTCCCAGGACTCTTCCTGAGTTGGCAGACTAATTTCTGCAAATATATTTGCACTGTTTTAAAATATTATTGCTGAAACCCAGGCCAGCATGGCAGGACATCAATATCCCGGGGAGGTATGCACTGGAGAAGAAATCCATGAATATGGAAAGTAGAGAAAGATGAATGTTTAATAACCGCTGACCAAAGACAGAACATCGCCTTGCCCTGACGCACTGAGGATTATGTTTGGGATGTAGCTCGCTTTTCTCCATTAGTTACGTACTGTCTCGCAGAAATGCCATCTGCCAATATGAAAAATGAAGCCAATTAGGAACCAGCAGACTGCATGGGCCAACAAGCACTTCAGCAGCTCCTGAGTTTGTGAAAAACAGCAACAGCCATTTATCTTACTAGTTGCATGGCATTTTTCACGTATCTATGGCACAGACCCAGTTGGGCAACAGTCAGTGTCATGGAATAAACACTAGCAGGATTAGTTTCAGTAGGTAGAGCCCTGCAAATCTGTGGATATCCGCTTTATATCCACAGGTATCCGCATCCGCTGATGTCAATGCAGATTTCACCGGCTCATTTTTGCAGATACAGATGTGGATTCAGATACAAATCTTGTATCCACGCAAGGCTCTACTGATACGGGATGGGAAATATATTATGGAACGTAATAATATATGCCCTCCACCAAAACAAGGGGGCAGCGTTACAGGAGTTAGGTAAAATAAACTAATGTTGCAGTTGAATTATATGCTCCAAAATTGATTTTCCCTTTGGTTTGCAATCTTATAGATCCTGTCCAGACATTTTTTGCCTTTGATTTTAGCCAAAGAGATTTGGTTCTCTGAAAAGAGCAGGTTTGATGGACCAGGTGGGCTTGTAGCCTGTTTTTGCTAAATTTAAATTAATGGCTGTCATGTTACAGTTCAGGACAAATGCACCTTTATTTCCCATTCTTGGTCCAGCAAGGCACCCACTCCTAGGATTCCGGCTTGCCAGATGTTACCTCTCCCATGGCTTTCTCCCTCTTGACTGGGGTTTTTCCGGTCTTCACAGCTCCCGCCTACACTGTTGCCCTGAAGTCAGAGGATGGAGCAGGCTTGCTTTGTCTTATTTTTAGAGGCTATAAACAGGGGAAGTTACTACACTTCTTTTGCTGTTTGGCTACGCCTACACTGGCATGAATTTCCGAAAATGCTTTTAATGGAAAAGTTTTCCGTTAAAAGCATTTTCGGAAAAGCGCGTCTAGATTGGCAGGATGCTTTTCCGCAAAAGCACTTTTTGCGGAAAAGCATCCGTGGCCAATCTAGACGCAGTTTTCCTCAAAAAAGCCCCGATCGCCATTTTCGCGATTGGGGCTTTTTTGCGGAAAACAGTACTATGCTGTCTACACTGGCCCTTTTGGGCAAAAGTCTTTCGGAAAAAGACTTTTGCCCGAACGGGAGCAGCATAGTTTTTCCAGAAAAGCACTGATGATTTTACATGAGATCGTCAGTGCTTTTCCAGAAATTCAAGTGGCCAGTGTAGACAGCTGGCAAGTTTTTCCGGAAAAGCTGCTGATTTTCCGGAAAAACTTGCCAGTCTAGACACAGCCTTTATGTATCTCCCAGATTCTGTAATTTCCACTCCAACTCATCTGATGAAGTGGGTTTTATCCACAAAAGCTCATGACCTAATACATGTGTTAGTCTCTAAGGTGCCACAGGTCTGCTCGCTGTTTTTACAGTGACTCTTGATTAGGAAAGGCCCAGAGTTGGAACGTTGGCTTTATCTGAAAAATCACAAAACCTGTCCTGGCTTTTTCCAAGTGCAATGTGTGCTTTACCCCAAAGATGCAGTAAGAAGTATTTTGGATTCACCAGTAAATAAACAAATACGCTAGTCTCTAATGGAGCATGCTCTGTAATGACATCAACATGCCATCTGGCTTCTGTGGAGACAAAACCTAATTTATCCTGAACTTATTCAATTAAAACCTATTAGTTTCATTTACATCAGTCTGCACAAGACGAAGGAACCGCCTCCCAAAGAGGCTGAAGTGAAGAAGTGAAGCCCAAAGAGACGCTTCAGGAAGGCAGCTGGTGGCAGGTGTGATAACACCGATGCCACCATAAAGAAAGAAACGTCAGTGTTTGAAACAGATGAGGAACTCTCCATGAACATGGATGTTTCAGTCCCTGGATTTCTGCAGAGAATGGTCCTAGGCCCCAGAACCTGAAAGGCACAGACTGGGTTGGGTGAGGTCTCCACTAATGACTTCTCCAGGCTCATCGTGAGAGTTTTAGCAGACAAAAGGGAAATTGTTTGCTCTGTGTAGGGTTTTGGGAAAACAACGAAAAACACCCTCTCCCTCCAGCCTACCCACGTGCATTATAGACAGGGCTCGACAAATAATACAATCTACTTGCCACGGGCGAGTAGACTGTAACCCGGAAGAGCTGGGTTCGGGTGATCTGCACATGTGCAGATCGCCGGACAGCGCAGCTGGCAACCGGACTCGCCGTGGTTCAGCGAGCCCTGATTATAGATTTAGTCCTTCAGTAGCCTGATGACCTAGGTCACAGTGGTCACCAACCAGTAGATCGGGATCTACTGGTACTTCAGCTGCTCCTCCCCTCACTGTGCAACTCCTGCCCTTAGCCTGGGAGCTTCCCCCCATCCCCTGGGAGCCTCCTGCTTGTGGTACACAGCAGGGAAGGGAAAGGAGGGGTGCTGATGCCAGGGTGCCCCTTCTTCCACCCTGTATTCTATCTCCACAGAACTGGAAGAAGGGAGCACAGGGCTTGGGATGGAGGGAGTTTGCTGGCTGCTTTTGAGAGTGGTGCAGGGCTAGGGCAGGGGTGAGCCTGCCTTAGCCCCATTGCACAACCACCCAGGAGCCACCTGTGGTAAACAGTGTCCTGCTGGAGCCAGCTCCGAACTCCTGCACCAGTCACATACCCTCGTCTACACCCCAAACCCCTGCCCTAGCTCTGAGCCCCCTCCCAGACCCAAACTCCTTTACAGAGCCTGCACCCTGAACCCCCTCCTGCAGCCCAACTCCCTGCCCCAGGCTCAGCTCAGAACCCCTTCCACACTCCAAATCCCTTAGCCCAAGAATAGAACCTGTGTGCCCCAACCCTCTGCCCCTGCCTGGTGAAAGGGAGGGAGAATAGGAGGACGGAGTGAGCAGGGATAGGGCCTCGGAGAAGGGGCACGAAGGAGGCAGGGCAAGGGTATTTGGGTTTAAGGTACATCCTGGATTGCACTTAAATTCAAAAGGTGATCTCCTGCTTAAAAAGGCTGGAGACCCCTGACCTAGGACGATGGCTTTCAACCTTTTCAGACTATTGTACCCCTGTGAGGTGTCCAATTTTCTTGCTTAACACTAAGTTTCACCTCACTTAAAAACGATTTGCTTACAAAATCAGCCATAAAAATACAAAAGTGCCCCAACACACAGACAGAAAAATTGCCGACTTTCTCATGTTTACCATAGAATTATAAAATAAATCAACTGGAATATCAATACTGTACTTTTCAGTGTATAATACAGACCAGTATAAACAAGTCGTATGAAAGTTTAGTTGGCACTGACTTTGCCAGTGCTTTTTATGTAGCCTATTGTAAAATTAGGTAAATATCTAGATGAGCTGATGGAAAATCTTTGTGTAACGCTGGGGTATACATACCCCTTGTTGAGAACCAGATGTGGCTATTCTGCTTATGGCAGGAGCCAGTCCTGGTTTGGCTCAATTGTAAGAATATATATATAAGCGATCTCTCTCTTGCCATCCATTTCCACCCTCTGACAAACAGAGGCTAGGGACACCATTCCTTACTCATACTGGCTAATAGCCATTTAATGGCAATACCCAAATAAATGCACCATGCTGATGGAGTGCATCCCACTGCCCTGCGTGCTGCCTCACTGCTTGACTCTGTCAGGATTCCCTCAAAAGCTAAACCAAGGGAAGCCAGTCAAGATGCCAACCCTGCAAGTGATATCCACACATTGACGTGGAATGGGGCAGTCTGCCAGCCACGGGGTCCGATTCTGAGAGCCCACCGTGGCCAAAGTGAATTTAAATGGGGACATAGGCAGTGTTTCCTCTAATTTTTCCATCTATGTGTGGAATAATTTTTGTTATATGCACTCAGGCATGTGCAGATGTGAACCATCAGTAGAAACACATGCTGCCACCTGTGGCTGCTGGGGGCGTTCTGCTCATCAGCTGGGAGGCATCAGAATCTCACCTGGGTGGCCACCCAAGCGCATAGCTTAAACACTGGACATTGGGTAGAATGACACCTTTACAGTGTCGCATCCTCAGGTCTGCACACAGGGGCCCGCGCTTTGACACAGGCAGCTACATCAAAGTAAAGAGGTTGTGTCTATCTGGCCCTTTGCTTCTTTACATGCGCTCCTGGTAGGGGTGAGGCCTTGGGCAGAAGGGGCAGGGCAGAGGCAGCCTACCCTCTCTCCCCTCCCCTCCCAGCCCTCAGAGCTTGGAGTGTGTGGAGTAGAACTCCGGCGGTGATTTAAAGGGCCAGGAGTTCCGGCCACCGCTATTGCTGTAGCAGCAGCAGCGAGGAGCCCCGGCCCCCTTTGAATTGCCAGGCCTTGAAGCAACTGCCTACTTTGCACACACCCCTCTCCCCTGCCACAGTTGTCTGAGGCCTGGGAACATGGCTGGGAAATTAGGATAGTCCGGCAGTCCCACCACATCAGCTCCTTAGGTTTGTTTGGGTATTCAGCCACCAGCAGTCCCATCAGCTCCAGCTCCTCCCTGGTTCTGGTCTTTTCCAGGTCCAGGGCACTGCCTGGCTCAGCAGCAGGGTCAGAATGTAGCAGCAAGCAGGACACATCTGTCTTATTCCCTGGCTCAGCCCCCACTAAGCTAGAGGCTCTGCCTTTTATCCTTCCTGTCCTGCCCCCAACTTCCTGTTGGAGGGTCAGCCCAGCTGGGTAGAGAGAGAGGTTCCTCCCGCTCTGGCTCGGATGGAGGCCACGCTGCCTCACTACACTCCACAACCCCAGCTCCAACAGCCATGTAGTGTCTGGGGAGAGAACACATGTAGACAAGATTGATCATAGAACACTAGAACTGGAAGGGATCTTGAGAGGTCATCAAGTCCAGTTCCCTGCCCTCACAGTAGGACCAAGCACCATCTAGATCATTCCTTACAGGTGTCTTTCTACCTGCTCTTAAATATCTCCAGTGATCGCAATTCCACAACCTCCCTAGGCAATTTATTCCAGTGCTTAACCACCCTGATAGTTGGGAAGTTTTTCCAAATGTCTAACCTAAACCTCCCTTGCTGCAGTTTAAGCCCATTGCTTCTTGTCCTATCCTCAGAGGCCAAGGAGAACAATTTCCTCCCTTCCTCCCTGTGACACCTTCTTAGATACCTGTCTTCTCTTTTCCAAACTAAACAAGCCCAGTTCCTCTAGCCTTCCCTCATAGCCCATGTTCTCTAGACCTTTAATCATTTTTGTTGCTCGTCTGTGGACCTTCTCCAATTTCTCCACATCTTTCTTGAAATGTGGTGCCCAGAACTGGACACAATACTCCAACTGAGGCCTAATCAGCGCAGAGTAGAGCAGACAAATGACGTCTCGTGTCTTGCTCACAACACTCCTGTTAATGCCCCGCAGAATCATTTTTTTGCAACAGTGTCACACTGTCGACCTTGTTTATCTCCTCACTCTTGCATGACTCAGAGCCAAAGCCTCCTCAACAGACACTCCCAGTGTGGTGGGGCGCTAGTGGGCAGACAGGTGCTCCACATTCTCCTAGGTCCCTTCCTACACAGTCTTGTGGTCCCTTCCCACATGTCCAGTCATCTCCACATTCTTTCCTGGCCCCCACAGTCAATGGCACCTGACATGCTGGCAAGCAGCCAAACCAGCAGGAGCTGCTTATATCTAGGGTCATAGATTTAATTGGCAAGATCTCTTTCTGCTTTTAAATAAATTGTGCTGGCTGAAAGCACATTCCATTAAAGACTAAGCCTCTGCTCCAGTTTTCAGAGGCTTGTAAATATTGATGGGGGTCCTGTGAGTCAGCTGCCAGAGCACTCTCTGGGAAAGCACAGTGTGCTTGGCGCATCTGCGCTGGGCTATACATAGTGACTTCTAACGGTACCTAATGAAGCCGACAGCTCAGCTCTGACAGCTTTAAATCAAGGAGACACTTAGGGTACGTCTACACTACAGCGCTAGTTCGAACTAACTTAGTTCGAATTAGTTAATTCGAACTAAGCTAGTTCGAACTAACGCATCTAGAACTAAAAACTAGTTCGAACTAGCGTTTTGCTAGTTCGAACTAGTAAGTCCACATTGAGTGGACTCTGAACAGGGCTTAAGGATGGCCGGAAGCAGTGCCGGCAGGGCATAAAAGGAGGACTTAGAGCATGGAGATACTGTCTCAGGCTAGCCGAGGGCTGCGCTTAAAGGGTCCCGACCCCCACCCCGGACACACAGTTCTAAGGGGTGCCCCGCTTGCAAAGAAGTTCTGGCTTGGAGTGCCCTGAGTGCCCACACTGGGCACATCACACCACTCGGCCATCAGCCCGGCTGCACTTGCCGCAGGCTGCCATCTGGGGAGAGGGAGTAATTGGGGGGCTGCAGGGCAGGGTCTGCTAGCTGGGTGCTGGCAGGCTTGCACCTGGCACGGGCACCGTAGCCAGCCCGTGCCCCTTTAAGGGGTCCGGGGCCGGGAGGGGGGCATAGAGTTTCCCTGGTGTTGGCCAGAGTGGCCACCAGGGAAACCTGGGGAGGGCTAGCCTCCCACTAGTTCGAACTAAAGGGCTACACAGCCCTTAGTTCGAACTAGCTAGTTCGAACTAGGCGTTAGTCCTCGTAAAATGAGGTTTACCTAGTTCGAACTAAGCGCTCCGCTAGTTCGATTCAAATTCGAACTAGCGAAGCGCTAGTGTAGCGCATAGGAAAGTTAGTTCGAACTAACGTCCGTTAGTTCGAACTAACTTTCTAGTGTAGACATACCCTTAGCTATGTTATGTTCATGGTGTACAAGCCAAGAAGTTAGGTAAACTTGAAGGAAGGTCATAACCTAACACTAGTTCATTGCTTAGAATCCAGAACTGTAACAAGAACCAAAACTACCGAGAGTGACAAAGCAGGCTGCTCCCTATGGGTACGTCTACACTGCACGGCTATTTTGGGAGACCGGAGGTATCCTGAAATAGCTACCCCGTGTCTATACAAGCCGCATCTACACAAGTCGAAATATTTGTCGAAATAATAGGCACTCTATTTCGCCATCCGGTAAGCCTTGTTGCATCAGGTCTAAAGGGAAGGCTCGAAATAGCGCGTTATTTTGAAATTTGGCGCTGTGTAGACGCACCAAATTTCAAAGTAAGCTATTTTGAAATAGATTCGAAAAAAGATACGCAATTTGCACAAAGTGTGTATCTTATTTCTAGTTTAGGGTGCTGTGTAGATGCACCCTAAGGCAGACAGGTACAACTCACCCCACCTTGTTCTAGGTTGACTCTTTGAAGACTGCTTGCTGAAAGGCCCAGAGTCAACCAGGCAGCCCCATGGTGTTCTAGACCCGAGTTTCTCAATCTTTTTTTTTTATAAAGTACCCCTTTTACAAAAAATAAAAAATAAAATCATAAGTACCCCCAGTACCTACAGTTTTCAGACACACAAATTTTTTTCTACCATTGCAACACATTTGCTTAAACAACTTAATCGTAGCTGGGCAGGTGATGAAATTTTTGGGTGTAAAAAGTCCAAAAATAATAAAGTACTGTAAAACTTAAAACAAAAATTCAGTTTTCTCCAAATTTCAGTTGTGTTGACATACTCCCCAACTTCTCTCAAGTACCCCTACGGGTACCTGTACCACTGGTTGAGAAACACTGGTCTAGACAGCTTGAAAAGAGGTAGTGATCAAAAGTACTTCCTTGTTAGCGGCTGTACTTCTAAGTCACCATTATTTCAATCAAGAGCTTAGTTATGCTAATGTGCCAACACAAGCACCATACTGTGTGGTGGGTACTACGTAGTGGCAAATGGCAATGCCAAATGTTTCTAATGTGGAAGAGCTACTAGAGCTGAACCAGGTTTTCTCCCGCTGGGCACCACTCCTGTTGTGAGGCCTCAGTGCATTACTCAGTAGTAGCTTGTGGTTTATTGAAAACAGTCTTAAAATGATAAGAATCCCTTCAAATTCTCTGGGGGGTTTTCTAGTCGTGCATGCAGGGAATCGGGGCTTTGTAGGGAAGCATGCCCCTGAGTAGAATGAATTTTCTTATGTTCACTAACGTGGAGGTGATGTGGCACACAGCACCTTCATATTGGTGCACATACCCAAATTCATGTGCTAGGAGAGGGGCCAAGGGGTCCTGAGTGTGGGAGGGGACTCAAGGCTGGGGCAGAGGGTTGGGGTGCAAGGGTTCTGCCTTGGGGTACAGGGGCTGAGGAGTGTGGGGTGCAGGAGGAGGGTCCAGGTATGGGGAGGGACTCAGGGCTGGGGGGTGGGTGCAGGAGGGGGAACAGGACCTGGGCTGAGGGTGTAGGCTTTGGGGTGGAGTCATGGAGGAGGGTTTTGAGGCACAGGAGAGTGCTCAGAGCTGAAGGAAGGCTAATGGCAAAGCAGGGCAGCTTCAGCCCTGGGGGAGAGACCTCTTCCCATTGCAGCCCTGAGCCCCTGGGCAGGACTAAATGGGACGCTGCTCACCCTTAATTTCACCTGCTGGTCACCCTTAATTTTTCTATTTCTGAGTGCACTCCTCCAGCAGCCCTGAGAACGCGTATAGGACGGAGAGGGTGCAGTTCTATAAGTGAAAATCTTTTCTGCTGTATAATAGGGACAGGTCCATAGCCAGTGCAAATCAGTGCTGCAGCATCTATTTCACTGGAGTGGTGCCAGTTAATAGGAGCCACGGATCCGGCCCTGCTGCAATCTGTATGATTGAACAGAGGTCAGTCTGAATTCCTTCCCAGCGAGTTCCAGTGCCCTCTCGTGTCCCCTCCTCTTGCCTGGCCCTTGCTCACCACAGTGCCCTGCCTATGCCTTTTCTGGCCCCTTCTGGATTACTCCTTGGGGGTCAGGTTATTCTGTCTATCGTCACGAAAGAGACCTACAGCCCCAGTCCTGGAGGAGGTCTCCCTATCCCTAGAGCAGGGCTGGGTGGGTGTAAGTTTGGTTGGGCTGTTTAATTTTTTAACCGGGCCTGAATAATTTAGATTCGACTGTATTTCAGTCTGGGCCTGTTAGCTTGAATGCTTTTGCAATCGCTGCTTGACCCAGTTTACAAACAGGGAAACCTCCCCCATGAAAAACTCACAGGGTGGGAGGCAAGGACCCTCCCAATTTATGCCAGATTACTCCTCTCCCCACTCCGCATTGGAAACTAAAATAACCTGAGTGGCTGAATCCGGGGATGCTATTTATTCCTTTGGAAATGTACATTGGTGCCTGTCACTGAGACACCTGGTCGCCTTCCATCAATCAAACAACAATCTGTTACACAGGGACAGTTCGGGGGGTATTATGCAGAAAGCCATGACCAGTCCCTGAACAGGACATGGAGAGTTAGGGCAGTACTGGCTAAGAGCCCTAGTGAGACACAGTATCCTTCCCTTGCTACGAAATGGACTTGATCTAGCAGGTCTTTTCCTGTTCTATCTACTGTCATCTTAAGAGGGTGAGTGGGAGATGTTCCCTGAAGCTGTAAAATAGTTTGGATCCAACCTACACACACACACTTTTAAAAGGCCCTTTAAGACCTTCAGCTAGAGGAAGAACAATTAAGAGGCTCCATCTAGTGTAGGCATTTCTAGCGCCTTATTATCCAGACAGGTCCACCCTTACTAGACAAAAAGTTCAAGGTCAATAATGTTCATAAAGAACTGAGCCCAGAGGGTTACGTGCCCTTTTTGTCCAGGCTCAACCAGCACAGCTGGTTGTTCTTTTGTGTGAACACGGCTGTGTTCTTTTGTGACTCTAGGGAGGGATTTTGCTGTATTTGCATTTCAGGCACCGTCCTATAGCTCCCTGACATTCAACAGGGGAGAGTTAAGA